CAAACCAGTATGCCCCACTGTGAAGGGCCAGTCAGACACCTCACACCATGGCAATGCCCCTTTAGAACTGAGGGCGCTCCAAGAAGCTCAACTGCGTTTGCCTTTTGTGCTAGAAACATGGACTTAATCATGAAAATCTGACGTGACTGAAGATCTCTTGGGTTGTTTGTACACTTAATACAGAAAGGCTGTGTCTGATTTTATTGGTTCCCACTAGCAGTCAGTGCAAAAGGATGAGGTATTGATGCTATGTGAATTCTTTCCTCATTACATCAAACTTAAGAAAACACATTGTGGCAATTTGCACTTGTGACATAATGAGTGTCAATTGCCACAAAGGAAGCACAGGCAAGCTGAGAACTAAGGGATATGAGGATTTAAGTGGTTCTCTCAAACACCCACTTTTATCTTAACTAGGAGGAGTCTTGCTATTAAATTCCACAAGCACAACTCTGAAAATCTCAGTTAGTAGCTCACCTCTGATGTGCTTTCCAGTGCAAGGAAGCGTTAGGAAGACCCCTCACATATAGCATCAAGGAGAGCTCGAGTCACAGCTTCCACAGCTCACCAGTCTCTATCCTCAATTAATCTCATCACTCTTCCTGAATTTGTCCCCCCTCAACTTCCTTGCAGGCCTTAAATTTGGTCTCTGTCTTTGCATATGAAAAACCCCCTTGACTATCTCAAAAGTACCTCTGTAGTCCCTCCAAACTCCCATGACCCCGAAGCTGCTGCAGCAATAACCCACCTGTGATGCTTTATCACTGCTGTAAACAGCTTCCCTCCTTTGGGCTAGGTTCTGCTCACAGTGCTACAAGAGTATCAAAGAACAGTGCTTGTTTTGTCCAGCTGCATGTCACACAGGAGCACAAGGCTCAGGATGGGCAGAAACCCCACACATCTCCCCAGCTGCTGAGAACCACCTGCAGTCTGCAGTGTGTCCTCACCTGATTGCTAACAGCCTCTGAAGAAGCTCATTCAGAGCTTGCTTGGATAAGTATAAATTGTTTAGTCTTCTCAGTGCAGACATGCCTAATCCACAACAGCATGAGATTAGCTCTAACACTTGGTTTTGTTTTGCCAACTGTTTTTAAAAGAAGGGAAGGACAAGGTTGGAAACCTGTGTCATTTCCAGAAAGACACTGCAGTTACTGATCTCATCTAACTAAATATTCTTTATTTTTTCCCGTCACTTCATTTGTTTTGTTGCCTAGTTTATTCTTTTGTTATTACTTGAGACTAAAAGCTCTTTAGGCAGAGATCATGACTTGCAATACACTTGTACAGCACCAAGCACAATACTAAACAGATGGGCCTTTAGCACTATCAGTATAAATACATCATCATATACCGTTTCTCTAACCTACAGGGAGCACATCTGGTATTGCACACGAGAGTCCTAGGGCAGGACTCCTCTTTCTGCTGCACACCAAGATAGAGCAGTAAGCCACAGCCTCAAGTTAAGCTTTTAGGGTCTGGAATTACATACTTTAAAACTACACCTTGTGACTTTGAGACACGGGCCAGGTTAGCTCCAACTTACTGGAATGCCGTAGCTAGAGAATGCTGAACAGTAATTAGAGCATATAATGGTTGAGACCAGATACAGGCAGTAAAGTGGTTGTTCACACACTTTTTTGGTCCCTGGACTCTATTTCAGCTGGCTGCACTTCAGTATAATCACCTTGATACGCATACTCTTCAGTGATAAAACATCAGGAGCCCTTAGCTGCAAAGGTTAAACAGATACAGTTGATGCCACAACTGAGCAGAGCAAAAAAACACAAGATTACATAAGTGTATTTGCTTTTGCCTTCATTCCCCCTGTCCCCCAAATGGGCTGTCAAATTCAGTTTGGGAAATAAGATGTTGCATCCATTGATCTTAACCTTGCTGCTTTTCCTGTAAAAGTTAGTATAGTGGTTTTCCAAGCTAAAATCAAGGCCTACAGATGCCTGATGCTGTACACCTAGAGGAAACATTATTACCCTGACCTTATAGATGGGGAACAGACAGATTAAACAGTTTGACTTTAGACTACTCAAAAGGCCCTTAATTGAGACTAGTGCTGAACTCAAGTCCTGCCTCCCAGCCCATCCTACAGTCAGACCTTCCTTCTCTCCAATAGGATCTGTAATTTTTCCATAGAAAAGCTGTAGAAAATATTGCAATTTCTGCACATAAATTTCCACATGAGGTTGACAGAAGGAATTAAAATGAGACAGTGGGGAGTAAAGTCAGAGAAGGTAGCATAAGATAACTGTCAGAACTGTTCAGAGCCAAGATTCCCAGGTTTACACATCCAAGGAACTGAGTCAGCTTCCTTCCAATAAATATTTATTGGGACCCCTGACTACTTCCAATGTCAGCATGTGCCAGATATTGACCTTCATTACAACAGCACAAACAGCTTTTAGGAATCGTGAAATTCATCATTCTCCAGGTGCTGATAAGCCTGTTCCTACCCCTACTCCAGTTTTGTTATTTTTAATAAGTTACTCTGGAAGGATTTGGAATGTGAATTCCCTTTTCCATTCATTCCTCTATCTTATTACAGTCAAGGATTCCAGCAGCTAATTTCAAGTGATATTTACTTCTAAAAGGCTGTCAGACACGCTGACTGGTAAATAATCATCACACAGAAAAGAGAGACTACTCTTGCTGTTGACGGACGGGATTCCTGCACTCCAGGCAGTCAGCTTCGCACCACCCAGACAATTCCAAAGCAAGGAACAATTCCATTTTGAGTTCCAGAACTTTAAATATTAGTAGGAGCAAGGAAAACAAGCACACAAAAATTGGTGGTTTTTTTTAGAGGCCTTCATAAATCCCACTCAAACAGCCCACAGTACTCATAGGCAGTAAATGCTCAAGTCTGTAAGCTCCAGCTCTAGTCTAATATATCACTTATTCCTGGCTATGGTTTTAAAATAAGAATTTCATCCCTCCTTCTTCCAGTTCAGTCTTGCTGGGAAGATGCTTCACTTGGACCTCAAGAGGGGACTTGTGCTAGTTTGTCACTTCTGCACCCTTCCATGCTCTACCTGCCACAAAAAATCATGTGTGGCCAAGGTAACCCTGATGGCCACAGCAGCCTCACTTACCCACTTCATGAAGATATGATCATATGAAGATATGATCAGCAGGTAAGAACACCTGTGCTTGCTCTGAAACACCAGGATTTCAACCTCAGGCTACAGATACCTACACAGAGCCTCAGCTGGAAGAAACCTTTGAACAAACCACATGGCTCTAGAAAGCCCTTTTCACCTTGGAAAAAGGAACCACTGAGTTCAGGGCTCCCCAATTCTTCTATCATTCCCCCCAGGTTCTGCAGTTCATTGACAGAAGACAAAAACCCAGCTTTGGAAGATTTCTGGGGCGTGTTTGGTGCACACCACACTCAGGTTTGCAAATGGAAGTTGAAAATGTGCCCAGTATGACAAGCTGACATCAAAAGCAGTTGGTGGCAGTAACAGAGGCAGAACAGAGTCTGGATTAAAAAACAGGCTTATTAAGTTCATAGTAGCTCGGACTCAGCTCATCTTCAGAACACTGTGCAGACCCATTACAAAAACATTACTCCAAAAGCTCTTCCCAAAATCTGCAATTCTGAAGTCACAACTAAAGTCTGCTGAATGTTTTGCTCTTGCCATTTCTCCTAAAAATCCTTTATTGGCAGAAAAACATGTTACATCTTCTCTGCTGTGATGCCCATCCTATGCCAGCTACAATGCCAAGCACTATTTATAGCCTCATAAAAACAGAATGCACTTATGTAAGACTGCCTTAGTAAATGCAGGTTAAGGAGGAATAGCAAGAAAATCCACTTCTTTGCATAGTGAAACCATTATCACAAATCTGTTATTGCACAGCAACAGAAAAGTTCAATAGTTGAGCCCTGTCCTCACTCAGGTAGACTCATAGCATTGCTGAGGTTGGAAAAGACCATTAAGTCTAACTTTTAACCCAGCACTGCCACGACCACCACTAAATCAATTCTCAAAGCACATCTACATGTCTTTTAAATAACCTCAAAGATGGCGATTCCACTACATCACTGGGCAGCCTGTTCCCATCCTGACTATCCTTCTGGGGAAGCGACTGTTCCTACTATCCAGTTTAAACCTCCCCAGCACATCTTGATGCTGTTTCCACTTGTCCTGTTCCTTGGGAGCAGAGCCCAGCCCCCTCCTGGCTCCATCCTCCTGTCAGGCAGTTGTAGAGAGAGATAAGGTCCACCCTGAGCCTCCTCTTCTCCAGACAAAACTCCCCCAGATTCCTCAGCCATTCCCCATCACACTTGTGCTCCAGGCCCTGCACCAGCTCCATTGCCCTTCTCTGGACCTGCTCCTGCACTGACACATGAAAGTGGAACCCTCACTGTGGAGCCCTAGCTCCTCCCTCAAGAACTCAGGCTACCTCTTCCTTCTAACTCCATGTCATGCACTGCTTTCTCTCCTCAGACCTCACCATTCTACCTGTGTGCAGTTTCCTAGGCTTCCCTGTTCCCTAAAATTACTCTTTCATATCCAAGTCTTCAGACTCTTCACTCTTTTCTTTTCCCATCTCCCCATTTGGTTTTTAACCCTTCTGCAGGCCAGCCAGGCACAAGCATCCCCCAGCTTCTGAGTGCTAGATGGCCCCATTCTATGGATGATGAGAAAAGGGTGCAGAAAGAACACTGGAGTCTCTGCTCCCACTATGTATCTACTTTTCTAGCAGATTTCTGGGGCAATGCTGATGTAACCCAGGAGGTAAGCTCAGACATACCCAGGATGAATTAGGAAGCAACTACCAAACCAAATCATTTGAGAGTCTGCAAGACTGGGGAGCATGTAAAGAACTCTCTTTTGGTCACATGTGGATAGCTCTTCCCCACAGGAGCAGAGGCTATCCCATTCAACCTAACCATTCTGTATAGAAAAGTTATAGAAAGTATAGTCCACAGCCCAGTAGTCTTAGAGCTTTACAAAAACAAGTTTGTAAAAACAGCATACCTGTATAAATGCATGTGCCATTCTTGCTGAAGCTTCCTCAAAACATCCAGCTTGATACAGGTTTGCAACAACTGGAGGGTTTTAGTCCATGGTACTTGACTTCCAATGAAGCTTGGAAGACAGGAGCAACAGACTACTTTGCCCATTGCTCCAACTCCACCTCTAACTGTGCAGGTGGTGGGTTTTAAGCAGCTTCTATAAACCACTGTGGTATGACCAAGAGCAAGCAGTGCTGCCCAAGCAGGCCTGCTGCTGGCTGAGGAGCCACCCCAGGGTCCTGCACAACAAAGGGCTCCTCTCAGCTACTGGCTGGGTGCAGGCTGCCTGCACATAGAGACCAGTCCTGGCTGCCATGGAAACATGGGTGATGTCAGCATTATGATGCAAGAGGGGCTGGAAGGGAGACCAGTGAGCTCAATTTAACATGGATTCTGAGCAACTGAAGACAAGAGCACTGATCTCTCACAGGTTGCATTTGTCTACTGTACATCTAAAAATAAAATAAAAAAAAAAAAAACCAAAAACCCACAAAAAAAACCACACTTGCAAACTTTGCTAAGTTTGAATTCAATGCTTTTGATGTTTCCAACACCTCTTTAGCATCCTGTGTTGAAGTATGGATATGCCTGTTCCTACGTGCACATCAAAATCAGCTCTGCAACTTTCCCATGAACTAAAAGTGGCAACATCGGAGCACAAGTATTGAGTGTCAATGCTGATGATGAGAAAGTTTTGTCAAGAAAGAATAGATACCATCTGACACATGGAACAGCAGCAGTAATCTGGAAATTAGAGCCCCTGACATATGCTTTCTATAATTATCCATGAAACTAAAACCAAGGGCAATATACTTAAAATATTCTTACAGGAAGCCTGCAGACACAGCCAGCATGCACGCTGCAGCACTGCTGTCTGAACAGCACTTGCAAAGCTGCCTTCTCTGTGGATGAGCACAGACACCAGCATTAGCCTGTCCTTCCCCACCTCAAATGCCCATGCCTCCAGTTCTACACATTGTTACAACATCACTAGCAAGACACACACATACCTTTGGCAGCTCTTGTTTCATGCCAGATTTGTCAAAGTATTCCACATTTATCTTATTGCTGCCTAATTGACATCCCTCCCTCCAGGACAGCTCTAAGCACAGTCTGAATATTTATCTGTTTGATGCAACATGATTTTAAATCAGCTGTGGAAAACGCTGGCATCCCAGTCAGGCTCTCAAGGGCAAAAGTGATGTTGCAAAACAGTATTTATCTGAAAACAGCCCCAGTCCCTCCTCACCATGACCCTGCCTTCAGACAGCTATGCCCGATTTGCTGCTGCCCCATAATGCAGCATGCACTAGAAGAGAGGATCATAGTCCCTCCTGGCAACAACAAAGTTGGGCCAGTGGCAATCACGTGAAGACAAAGCAGGAGACACCCCGGTTAACCAGACCAGTGCTTGGGGGCTGTTAACTCTTAGTAACAGATGCCCCTGTGGAGTCTGTGGTCTGTCATGGGGGACACTCCATCCCCAGAAACCTGGTCTAGTGGAAGGTGTCCCTGCCCATGGCAGGGGATTGGAACTGGATGAGCTTTAAGGTCTCTTCCAACCCAAACCACTCTGTGATTCTATGATGCAAGGTCTCTAGATCTTTCTGAAGCAGAGAAGACAAAATTCTCAAGTATCTGTGAAGCATCATGAGATAGATATCCACCATCAGCTTTGCAAGTTTCTCTTTTTACCAGCCATTCCCCGCATTCCCTTTGCTTTAATCAAAAGCTCCAGTTTCAAACTGCTTGTGTCAAACCATGCACCAAACTGTGCAATAGAAACATTCTTGCTCTGTGGTTACTTTACACCACTTGCATTCTGGTGTCACAACCCACTGAAATTGGTGACCCTATTACTTCCTAGGATTGTTGCTGTTCTGGCATGCACAGGAATGCCACAAGCCTCACATCAGGGAATTTATATGCATATACACACACATAGAAATACAGTTCTTACTGTATGTAAACCAGGGAACCAGAGAGGAGCTGCAGGACAAAGCTCATAGTAAAAATGTAGCACTAGCAGCAGCCCTGCTGGAAACAGCCACAAGCAGGAAAGTCAGTTCTTACGCTTCGAAATGACACATGTGCCATCCCACCTGCACATGTGCATGCATGCGGAAGAGGGATTTAGCATTACTGGTAAAACATAAGTGTTTGAGAAGGGATTTTGATGGTGAGGGAATGACTTAATGGGGATTCTCATGGGGAAAAAAGTGTGAGAATAGGAACAGTGACACTTGTGGAAGAAAAAAGATAAACAGGGGCATTAAGGCGGCATCATTAGCCTAGTAAACAGTAATAGACCAGGCTGGGTAAAAGCATAAGGGAGTTACAGGTATAGTCTGGATAACCAGACAACATATGTCCAGCTTGAGAAAGAAGCTTTAATGAGTTCAATGAAGAATGAATTCTGCCACAAATCCTGAAAGCACAGAAAGTTTTAAAGGGATAGACAAACCCCAATGAGCTATGTGTATTCTTCAGGAGCTATCACACAGAAGGCATTTCATGCTAAGGCTGCCATCAGCTGCACTGGGACTAGTCAGTTAGCCTTCACAGTTCAGGCTGTATTTATTTTGATTTGGGGTTAGCCAGCACAAGTACTGCATTTGCCCCAGGTGCTCAGTGTGTTAACCTGCCATGCTTTTTACTGATGACCTCCTTGCACCAGCAGAATGTGGAGTTAATGAGCAGGATAATGAACTTGTCCTGACCCTATAACCTCTAAAACAGCAATAGAGCCAAGTGTGTGGGGTGGGCACAGACAATCTGGAAACACAAGCAAGAGAGGCACTCCCTCTCTCCAGAGGGAGGCCTGGTAATCCCACAGATTTCCTTCCTCCCTGCTGCTCAGCATAACACTGTTACCACCCTGAAGTAGCAAGTTCTATAAGGCACTTCAAATATTTCATGTTAAGACCTGCCCAAAATTCAAGACAAAACTTATTCTATGCAACAGTTCCAGCTAAAGCCGTGCATCAGTCCTTGTGTAGCACATAGGCTGGGCAAGAAAATCAACCCAGAGACCTTACACTTCTGAGTGAGCTGCTTGATTCAGTGCATCTGTCTCAGTGTGTCACCCAGGGATGCCTGTCTCCTTTCCAGTAGGATAACCAGTTGTCATACTTACCCTTAGTGGACAGACAGGGATCTTGCCTGCCGCTAAGGAAAACAGGCAGGTGAATGATTCCCAGTTCCAAGACAGTGTGCAAAGCCTTTGCTCAACACAGACAGTATGCATTCTCCCAATTGCATCCATCAAGGTCAGGCATGACACAAGTAAATATTCATGCCTAGCTTTACTCCTCTTTATCAAAATTCAGTCTAGCTCCAGTCCTAATTTTCTCCAGTCCTAAATTTCTCAGCATTTGTCACCCTGTATGAACTAAGTGCTATTGATGTATGTGCCCAGTGTAAAGATTAATTGAAGAACCACTATTCAGGAGGGGTTAACTTAATTCCCTTCTGTAGCTGCTCTGCAGTATTTCATGCAACTTGTGGCCAGGAATATTTTATTAGCTCCATGAAAAGGGAGTCATGGCAAATGCTGTTGCTCAGTCTTGGTTAGCTGATGCTGTTACACAAGTTCCAGTTCACAGAAAAGGCTGAGGAGGGGACAGGACAACAGAGGGAAGCTGGGAGGCTTCTCCTTCCAGTTTGAGGACAGAAAGCAGAAACAGCTCTGATATATCAGGACAATGGCAACTGTACAGTACTTTACACAGAGGGATGCTCACAGCAATGGTTGGAGACACTGTGGTATTGCTTTTGACTTCTAAGAAAAACAGGGTTTGTGGGATGGAATTTCCTTCCAGTTGCCTCAGTGCATTCAATATTAAGTTAAGCCTGATATTTACTCCTGGTTTTGGGCATAATTATCCATCAGCCTGAAACTCCTAAACCTGATTTGGAAGAAAGGAAAGCAAAGACCATCAGATTAATCCTGCTGGTACAAAAATTGTTAGAGAAACACATTAGTAGAAGCTGTGCCACCCACTGAAAACAAAGCTCTCACAGGAGATTCTTACTTTGAGGGCAGGAGAGAAGATCTCTGCAGCCACAGAAAGCTGCTGCCTGGCCAGTGTGTCTTTTCGAGTGCTTGGAGTTTCTCCAAGGACTTATCCTCACATTTGCACACCTGCTCAGGAACAGAAAGAGTAAAATTATGTTTTCCAAGCCACCTTTCAGCCTATGCTTGGGGGCTGCTTCCTAGACTTAGTTTAATACCATGGATGCTTTGGTCAGGGAGCTGATGATTTTTCCCATCCCTGAAAGGATGACTAACCACTTCATGGAAGTTTAAATACTCAGACCACTTTAAGACACCTGGCTGGAGACTGTTATCCAGGACACAAAACAATCAGCTATAAGTTTGCCCCAAAAGTTAAAAAAAGGCAATAAATTAGTTAAAATAGAAATTCAAACAAAATATTCATAAATACAGACACTTGTCCAGGCAGACAGTTTGGCAGCTGGCAATCAGGTTTAGAGTCTGACATCTCTGAATAAAAGATTTTACATAAATGCAATTCTACATTTCTTACATCAGCTTTTATAGTCAGATCTCAGTCCTACAGGTGATTCAGAGCTCTTCTCATGGTCCAGAAACTTTGACAGGTTTCACCAAGACTGCTTTTTCATAATTTAGTATAAATGCCAATTCCAGAATGCAAATTAACTGTGAGGCCAACTCTTTGAAGTGCTGGCTATCCTCAATTGCCAGCGAAGTCAAGGAGAGTCAAAGCATCCATAAAAGCACAGGATGAGAGTATATTACAAAATGGACAATTACCATGGTATGTAATTCTGACACATTGAGATAGTTAATGCTTCTGGGAGTAGAAGGGTAGCCAATAATACAAGCTAATAGTTCATTCCAAACAATGAGAGGGAACTAGATGCAGTCAAATTCTGTATTTCAGCATAAATACTGTTAATGCGTTTCTAAATGGGTGGGCAAAAAGACAGTTTTAAGATAGAATACTTAAGCCTTCTTTATGACATGTCTCTGCAGACATTTTCCATTACCTATTTTCTTATGTATTAATAGAGGATCAGAATTATAGTTTAATTATTCATGGAGTTCTAAAGAGATACTCTGTTCAAAAAGTCATTGACATTACACACAAAGTCCACCGAACTCCCATACACCTTAATGAGGCAAAGCAAGAGACATGAAGGGCAGCCTCAGGATGGGTGGGCAGGAGGACACTGCACACCCTGCTCCTGGCAGGACAGCTCTCCAG